GAAGTTCTACAATAATTAAAAGGACACAGGTCCCTTCAAGTAGCTGCACACTTGTTATGGAACACCAGCTGTCACAGGACAACTCCTCTGATGCTTTACCATGTAAAGAGAGAAACTGATAAGCCGTCTCTTCTTGAGTCTAAAAAGAAATCTTCAGGAAAATGGTCATGGAATTACATTAGAATGCAAAGAACATTTTTCCTAAAACATCACATAAAAGTTTATCTCCTACATAGACCTTCCCGTTGGAGGTAAGTTAAATGGGCATCTAATTAAGTGATGGTATCTGCCAGATGTAATCAACGCTGCCAACGGGTTTCCAGTGGAACATGTTAGAGTCCATGCTTCAGGATCAATAAGGGCATTAACCCTTTGAGGTACCAGAGGCATGCACCACAATTTGCAAAACCAGGCATTGGTTACTAAAAAAAAAGCAATACATTACATGTTCCCTGGCACTTCAAGGGTTAATGACCTTAGCAGTCCTAAAATGTGAAACTAACAGGAGATGATTACATTGGCCAGATACCATCATTTAATTGTTTGTTTATCTGCATGTCCTACTTAAATTCTTCATCACTCTCTTACCAGATTGTGTACACACTGGGTTCTTTTCCCCTTCAGGTAAACCAGCTGGACCTTGATACAATTTAATGTACACACACACCTACACACCTACCTCTGCCCTTGAGAGCTGATATGAAAAGTTCTGATATAGGCCTAAATTTAATGTTTTTGGATAACGCTTTTCAAATGATTTAATATTTTTATAAAATGCAAAGACAGAGGTGTCTGGGCCACGGAGCCATTAATTTATGCTCAGCAGATGACTTTCAGATCTGATTAACTGAGCTCCAGGCCCATGCCCATAAAATAGGCCGATTGACAAAAAAAACATATAAATATATATTTTTATTTACTACTCTTCACATGCTCTTGCTTTTTGCAGAGGGAATTAAGTAGGGGGACTTAGAAGGGATGTAAAGGAAAACAATTTGTTTGAGTTAGTGCGTGTCACTGACCTTGTTTTTATGTGTTTGCGCCAGTAAGCTTGTGTGTGTCAATGTGCTTGTTTGTGTGTGGCATCGTTAGCTTATATAGGTGGGACGTAGTTCAGATGATGTCATACCATGGGTAGTGTATGAGACGCTTCATATTTTGCCTAAGGGGGAAAAAAATCCTTGCACCAAAAGGAGATGAATAGACAAATGCGTGATGGGGGACACCAGGAAGTTGAGCGAGCACATCATTAGACGTGTTCACGAAAAGCTCAGTGTGCCGAAACAGCGCTGTCTGCATAGTCTGCCCTTAGTTGGCCGGCCTGAGTGATTTTCAGGCATTTACGCCAGCCCTTACTCCTTTTTAGGCGGGTCAGCTCTTTTAGGCGGTGCCTGTGACATGAGTCTTGTCACTAACCCACTTCATTTTATCCTTCCCACCAGCGTCCTGGACGCCGATGTTAGGGGGTATGGATTTGGTTGGGAGATGAAAGCGAGAGATTAGCATAGGCTATGTGTTTTCTTATAAATGCATCCTGTGTGTTCTGTCGATAAGATTCCGTAATTAGACCCAAAGGGCTCTTAATCCGGGTCTGAGTTAAATCATAGGCTGGTTTAACTGCGGCACTGTAACTTTAATTGAACTGTATTTCCCAGAAATCAGTGTGCTTACATGTTTTTTTTAGTGTCAGAAACCTTCAAAGAAAGTGCTTTTTATTGAATAGAGCCTGAGAGGGCTACTTCTATGCAACAGCTAGTTCTGTGAGGGCACGTTTACTCTCAACTAGCAATAAATGTGGGTGTTTAATAGCACTGAAAATGATATTGATGAAATCCCATTTGTTGCTGTTAGCAACAATCACTGCTGACATTTAAAGTGCTGAATTGTGGATTTATTTCATTTACATGCCAGTATACAAATATTGTGGCTGATCAGGGTATGTGTGGACAGAAAAATGCCATCTTTTACTTACTGCACTATTACATATATTACAAATACAGTTAGAGATATCTACCTAAAATACACTTACAAATACAAACCAGGAGGGTGCTTTATGGGGGAAAGACTCGTTCGTCTGAGTGAAGCATTCTCTCCCTAAGAGTCAGGGGTAGCATTCGGTAGTATTCATACAAAAACTCCCGAAAGTGGACTGGCTGTTGCCTCTTTTTCCCTGGAACTATTTTGGGCTACCACCTCGTGGCCGGCCGGTCAGAACTCTACCTGAATGGTGTTTCCGTTACACCAAATGGATCTGAGCGGTTTTTGGACATCTTGGGTGCTCAGATCTGGGCTATTTGGGGATATGACACGTGGGGTTTCGGTATTGTTTGAATGTAGTTTTGGGATGTTTTCTGTATTTTTGTCTGGTTTCCTGTAACTGAGAGATCATTGAGTTACCAGTCCTTGACCCCATGCTGGGGGTCTGTGCATAAAAAGCCTGCAGCTCAATAAACCTCAGCTGTACTCCCAGAACTTTGTGTTGTCCACTTACTGGGGGAATGGGCTATATTCACTAAGCAGTGCTTCGTTCCAGCTCGAGACGACTTCAACTAAGATTTTCGGTCTCAGGATTGCAGCTCCACTACAGTGTACAGCCTTATACCTCCCAACACTGCAAGATTCTGGATTTTCTCCCTGGTGGTCAATAAGCTTGCGTTGTGTGCCTATTGTAGTAATGCCCATATTAGAGGAATTAATCCATCTCAAGTGTTCTAATATAGATTACTTGACCATTTATAAACCCATAAACCCATTTACCATTTAAAAAAAACAACAACAACACACACACAGGGAACAGTGTAAAAAGGAAAAGAGACATTAAAAAAGACAGACTGAAAAAAATGAAGTAAAGAAGAATTAGCAAAGAAGCAAGAAACAACTGAGAGGCTTATTTATGAAACAGCAAATTGTAGTTAAGTGAAAACCGAATTGCAAAATTTAGAGCAAAATAACTAATTTGAAAAATGTCTTGAACTTGACACAGCTCGCAGCCAGTCACAGCTTTGATATGTTAACTTAACGTGTGTGATCTGGTTTTCAGTTTGCTAAAGTTTGATGAATAAACTGCTGAAATAATGACAATCTAACTTATGAGGGGGGCAGCAAAATGGATCTTAGCCTATGGCGGCAGAAATTCTTGCTCCGGCACTAACGGGGGGCACGTGGAGAGGTAGGATTTGGATCTACATTGCATTGTTCTTATAATAAGAAACTTTGCCATGCTCTATGAGGAGGTATGAGAGACCCGAGATCGATGACTCCGGTAATGAAAGTATTAGAAAAATTTCGTCAGAATATAGAGATAATGTTTGCGTAGCTATAGGAGTTGGGAAACACATTATGTTTGGGGCTGATTTAATCTTGTGCACTAGGGATTCATGGGTGACAATGAAAATGGCAGGGGAGACGGGTTAACCCTGTCTCGTCACTTTTGGAAGGGGTCTGATAGGAAGGCTGAGTAAAATAAGTGTGGATGGGTCTGAATAAAAGCTCGTGATAGCCATTAAGAAGGAAGGGGAGATTCCAAATTGTTTGAGGGTGCAGGTCATATATTGCCAATTAAGTCTATCAAAAACTTTCTCTGCATTGTATGTGCGCCCTCTTTATATGGACTCTGTTTTAAAGACACAGGAATTAGTCTATCGGTACCTTGATTCCAAGAGAAATCTTTCCACAAAAAGAAAGAATGTCTGAGGAACCTACAGAATGTTATGGCAAGACAGGAGGCTTCTTATTTGCTTTGTCTTTCTTTACTGAACCTCCCAGCAGCAAAGAAATAGTTAACAATAATGTAAAAATAATTTTACTAATCAGAGTGTATAACAGTATTATATGATGTCATCAAGCTCCTCCCATATCGTCTTTCTTTCTGCTTGCCTCCCAGGTGAGTCTGTTCCAATTATATGGCTTTTGGTTTTGCCTTTAATGCAATATTTTAATAAAAAATTCCTTGTTACTCTGTTAAAATTTTTAGCACTATACCTTTATTATCATTGTAAATATTTTTTCTAATTTTTTCTAATTGATATCTCCTGATTACCATACATTCTCACACAGTTTATTTCTGTGACAATTATTCTTACCACACATATTGTTCCCAAACATGTAGGATTCATTTGTGTTTTTTGTGCAAGTGTCAAATCTTATTTCCTAATGTTTCCCCTTTAAAATCGCACCGGGTTTATCTCTTTTTCATACTTGCGGCCGCGGTCTCTGCACATTTGTGAGTGACCGCGGCTCAACTTTCAGTTTCTCTCATCAGTGCCGCGGACTCCATTTCCCAGGCGTCCGCTGCTCAGTTTCGCGCCCTTCACGGTTTCCCGCACTCTCGTGTCTGCATTTTACTGAAGCGCTTCCTCCCTCCTTTTTGCTGGCGGAGTCCATCTTAAACCGCGGTTTTTGCCTTGCTTAACAGCGCAATTGTTCGGCCCATGCCGGATCCGGTAAGTACCTTATTTACTTTGTTGCTAACAGCAACATTAAAGTGCTGACACCCTTTTTCCTCCAATTTACTTATTATGCTTATTTGTTTTATTAACAGGAAATACCTGCTGTACTTTTCTTTATCATTAAATAAAGGAGGGCCTTGTGGGTGACCCCCACCTTTTTTCTCTGCAACTGTTGTTCATTGAATGTTTGTTGTGGGTGACCCCCACCTTTTATTCACTTTTATAACCAATTTCTAACAGGTGTTTCCACACCATTACTACAGTGAGTGACCCTCACCTTTGCAAAATATATATGTTATTTAAAGTTACCCCACACTTTACTATGTATTTAACAGACATACCCATTAAAAGTCTGACTTATTTTGTGGTGAACCCCACTTCCTATTGGTACAGTGGTACAACCCACTGAATATTGTGTGCCGACCTTATATATCAACAGCGTTAATTTGGGTGATCCCCATTTATAAATTTTACCAAACACACTTGGGTGAACCCCATTTAATACCCTGTCTTACATTTATTTGTCAGATCATTAATAAAGTTCTAAAAACCATGTCTGACAATACTGAGCCCGCAATCTCTCAGGAACTTAAAGCTTGGCTGGTCTCAACAATTGCCGAATCCATCTCCAAGGCATCTTCCATGAAACAACTTCTGACGAAAACAATCCCATCACACATTTACCCTCTGGCTCAGAGAACTCTCAGCCCTCAGAGCAGGAAGTCACACGTAAGCGCCTTTGGAAAGAGAATAGTGTGTCTGCGGGCAAGGGCAAGGCTCCTGCCAAGTCTCAAAAATTAACTGTCACTCACCCCGCCCAAACTATCTTTGACCCCTTGGAGGGTTCTACATCTCATAGGGGCGATGAGATTGAAGATTACTACCTTGGCTACTCTGATGAGGACCCCTCGGCGAATGCGCTAGGGGATACTCCATCGGAATTTGTCAAGGAGACATTCATTACACAAAAGGACACAGATGCAAACGTACCTATGCAGAAGGTACCAGACTCAGACATCCTTCTGGATGCTTCGGGTGTCCCTTTTTTCGTCCCCAAGGTCATTAGGCATCCACGGTCGGCCGAATGGGCCCCACCGGACCATATTTCTAGCTTCTGCAAGATGTGGTTACGTAAGCCACTTGAAAAAGAAATCAGTGCGAAACTCAGAGCCGAGTGCCCTCGGCCAACCATTCCAAACAAGGTGGCTCTCACGCCAGAGTTTGACCCACTATTTGTGACCTTCCTCACTAAGACGGGGAAAGATCCTCGCAAGGGCATTGAGCAGGGTCTTAAGACAGCCCAGGATAAACTCCTGGACATTGCTGGCCCATAATTCAAATTTTCATACTAGCTGACGAAGCCATAACTAGTGGGGAGTTTGACCCAAACACAGTCAGAGAATGGGCCCAGAGAGCCTTATGTTTCCTGGGCAACGCAAATGTGGCTATTTCCACTGAGAGACGCAGGGCGGCACTATACAAGCTGGATGCTAAATTAGCCGATCTGAGCTCCCGAGAACTGGGACCAGAGGCCAATGGATTGCTGTTTGGAGACTCGTTTATGAGGGATCTCTCCAAACATGTAGCGGTATTCACTACCCTAAATAAGGCCCAATCCTCCTTGCGCAGGGTTTTTCGTTCCCAGTCAGGTCGCTTTTCTGGGAGAGTTGGACGTTATAGAGGCCAAACGAACAGCAGAGTTGCCTTCACAGGCTACAGGCCTCACCCGTCAGAGAATTATTGGCACTCGGGACAATCCCGACCCTACCACAGGCAGGTATTCACCAATAGAGGATCTATCCGGGGACGTGGATCTGCCTCCTTACGTTGATGCACTGCTCCAGGTAATAAACCTTCCTTTTTTCAATGTACCTATAGCAAGTCAACTAACCCATTTTTTCCAACAGTGGGAACTGCTTTCACAGGATCTATGGGTCCTACACACAGTCCAAGGGTTCAAAATAGATTTCCTTTCCACTCCCTTCCAGGACACACCACCTACACCACTACGGATGTCTGCATCAGACAACCTGACACTACAAACAGAATTGCACAAACTAGTAAAAAAAGGGGCGATAGAAAAATCCCCTTTCCCACATACCTTTCTCAGCAACATTTTTCTGGTCAACAAAAAAACTGGAGACCTATGGACCAATTATCAATTTGAAAGACCTGAATCACTTTGTCAGATATCATCATTTCAAGATGGAGGACATCCATCTGCTCAGGGACCTCCTTTGCGTGGGAGATTGGTTGTCCAGATTCGATCTCAAAGACGCATATCTCACACTCCCTGTTGCTCCCAACCATCAAGCTTTTCTTCAATTTCTCTGGCAAGAGGAAATTTGGCAGTTCACATGTCTCCCGTTCGGTCTATGCTCCTCATCATAGTGTTTCACAAAACTGATGAAACCTGTGATGGCTTTACTCCGATCACAGGGGATTCGGTCCATTATATATTTGGACGACATCCTAATAATGGCTCAAGACTCAGACCTTTTACGCCAACACACGGACATGATGATGGTCTTGCCACAAAACCTAGGTTTTGTAATCAATTTTCAGAAATCGGCCCTGAAACCTTCTCAGAAGGTTCAGTTTCTCGGATTTCTGATAGATTCCGTACAGGCCATTTTGCAACTACCCTCTGCAAAAGTCAAAAACATAAAAAAAGACATTCGCAAATTGTTATCAGCCCACCAGATTCGCCTACGCGATCTAGCCCATACCATAGGCCTACTGTCCGCCTCTATCCAAGCCATTTACCCGGGACCTTTACATTATCGAGCCATGCAACGGCTCAAGACATACTACCTACACCGTTCCACCTCCTACGATCAGTACATCTATCTAACAGACGAAGTTCGTATAGAACTTCACTGGTGGCTTCACAACATGGAAGCCTGGAATGGCAAAGCCATCTTCAGATCGCAACCAGACTTCATTCTGGAATCCGATGCCAGTCTCCTGGGGTGGGGCTCTACCTGCTCTGAACGGTCCACCGGGAGACTATGGTCCCCCTGCGAACAAGCACTGCACATCAATTGCCTAGAATTGATTGCAGGATCTTTTGCGATTCACAGTTTCGCAAAAGATTGTTTCAATTGCTTACAAGTACTGGGCATGGACAACGTTTCTGCAGTACGTTATGTGAATCGGTTAGGAGGTTCCTGATCCAAATTACTGTCCGACCTTACCAAAGAACTCTACCAATTGTGCCTAGAGCGGAATTCATCCATCAGAGCGGAATATCTTCCGGGCACGGACAACCTAGTTGCAGATTGGTTCTCCCGCCATTGGAGGGACGTAAGCAACTGGCAATTGGATCTTCGCCTGTTCTATCAAATTCACTGTCTTCGCAGGCCCCTCACACTGGACCTGTTTGCGTCTTGGCTAAACTGCCAGACGGAGGCCTTTTTCAGTTGGCTCCCAGATCCCCAGTCCTGGGCAGTCGATGCCTTCCTACACCCTTGGCCGGAGATAGGAGCGTATGCGTTCCCACCTTTCTCCATGATCCAACGCACCCTTTACCGGCTCAAAGCCCTAGTAGTGACGATAGTCATTGTCACTCCTGTATGAAGAGCCCAGACTTGGTTCCCAACCCTACTAGAACTATCTGCGAATTACCCAATTCTTCTACTTCGACTCCCTGACATCCTCAGGAATTCAGCAGGGCTCTGTTACCCACTCACCCTTCAAGGTCGGCTCCAGCTTGTAGCTTGGACCGTTTCAGGGGACCCTGGAATGTCTCGGGACTTTCGGAGACAGCTCAGGCTCTCCTATGGGACTCCTGGGCCCCAGACACTAGACGAGCTTACCTCGCTGCATGGCGAACATGGTTCAGTGATGTTTGGAAAGGGATACCGATCCCTTTTCAGCACCTCTGACGATCATTCTAAATTTTCTGTCTACCCTCTTTGATCAAGGCAAGTCCTATAGATCAATGAATGTTTTTAGAACAGCTATTTCAGCGGCCCACAACCCTATTGACAGTGTATCAACAGGAAAACACCCTTCAGTTTGTAGACTTTTAAGAGGGATCAGGCTAGCCAGGCCCCCTCTTCCAAGTATTCAAATTTCTGGGTTGTTACTCAGGTTTTTTCCCTTTTAGAATCCTGGCCCTCTAATGAGAATTTTACGTTACGTCAACTCTCTGCCAAACTGGCCTTACTTCTATGTCTGGTATTCTTCCATAGGGTAGCATTTGATTTCCACGCTGTATTTTTCTTGCCTGAAGGTGTTAAATTTCACATCACCAGGCGTACAAAGACTAATTCCTCCTCTGTATTCTACCCTTACTTTCCGAATAGACAGTCACTCTGTGTGGCGCTCTGTGTAAGGCACTATATAGATGCCACAACCACTCTGCGTTACCCCGTCTCGTGTCCTTTGTCAAACCACACAAACCGGTGTTCGCTCCCACCGTCGCGCGGTGGATCATATGGATACTAGCCCAAGCAGGTATTGACTCCTCTTTTGGAGCGCATTCAGTCAGAGGAGCAGCCGCATCCTCAGCCTTTCGTGCGGGTAGCTCCCTCTCAGACATTTTGTCGTCTGCGGATTGGTCCAGGGAGTCTACCTTTCGTACATTCTATTTCAAACCTATGCCACATGCTGCATCTTCTATCATATAGGAGCGTTAAAACAGCAGATATGAAGCCTCCTGTCTTGCCATAAAATTAGGGATTATTCTAGCCCTAGTGACTGAATAATCTAAATTTTATTAACGACAGGAGGCGAATATTTTCCCTCCCTTATTTGTTTTCATTATCATTTATACCCGCCCTAAGGTGTTACTACATATTTTTCCTAGTCGTTCTGTTTCAAACACATTCATACATCATCCGTCATAGGTTTACACCACAACACTCTAACCAAGAGTTTGTTATACTCAACATCATTTTACATGAAATGTATTGAAATTGTTGTTCCTAGTGTGCATGCCATAAACTTGCATTCAACTAGTATGAGAACCTATACTCTCATGGTTTTTTCTCTACTTCCCTTAAGTGTGAAGAATCCCAACGCTTGTGATACATGGATTCATCAATCCCGTTGAAAGTTTACATGGTTGACTACATCAGGACCTCGAATTGGTCCACAGTTCATAGTTATGGTTTACATGGCTGATACTCGGATATCGTCGGCTACAGCAAGAAAGACGATATGGGAGGAGCTTGATGACATCTTATAATACTGTTATACACTCTGATTGGTTGAATTATTGTTACATTATTGTTAACTATTTCTTTGCTGCTGGGAGGTTCAGTAAAGAAAGATAAAGCAAATATTTGCCTCCTGTCGTTAATAAAATTTAGATTATTCAGTCACTAGGGCTTTTTTTTAAAAAAATTATTTTAATTTTTCCATAACCTAAGTGTGAAGTGTGAAGACTGACATGTTTTGTGCGAGTTTTTAATGAAAGAACCATAGATATTGCAGATGGAGAGAAAGATCCATCGCCATCGCTGGGCCTCGGCAATCACTGCTGTATATTTGGAAACTAGATTGTACGTTGCACCAGCACTGTATACTATATCCAGTCACTAGTTTATTTCACTATTTCGTGGCTCCGTTTACATTGCACGGTTGTGAGACAGCAGACCAGTAAATAGATAACTAACGCAAAACAATAGTTAAAAAAAGGCTTCATCCAAAAAGTGGGTTTAGATAAAGCAGAGTCCTTGAGGAGTCAGCAAATATTTAGAAAACATTTAACTCTAAGTGTTACACGCCTGCGGCACTTCTACTGCATAAAGAAACAGTAGATCCCCTATGTATAGAGCCACACCTGACAAATATAGAGTAATGTATCATCACACTGTGTGTATTAAATCACACTCTGTATTAGCACACACTCTGTATTAGAGCACACTCTGTATATTAGAGCACACTCTGTATTAGAGCACACACTCTGTATTAGAGCACACTCTGTATATTAGAGCACACTGTCTCTGTATTAGAGCACACTCTGTATATTAGAGCACACTCTGTATAAAAGCACACTCTGTATTAGAGCACACACTCTGTATAAGAGCACACTCTCTATTAGATCACTCTCTGTATATTAGAGCACACTCTGTATAAGATCACTCTCTGTATCTTAGAGCACACTTTCTGTATATTAGATCACACTCTGTATTAGAGCACACACTCTGTATAAGAGCACACTCTCTGTATTAGATCACACTCTGTATTAGAGCACACACTCTGTATAAGAGCACACTCTCTGTATTAGATCACACTCTGTATTAGAGCACACACTCTGTATAAGAGCACACTCTCTGTATTAGATCACTCTCTGTATTAGAGCACACACTCTGTATTAGAGCACACTCTGTATTAGAGCACACACTCTGTATAAGAGCACACCCCTCACTCTGTATAAGAGCACACTCTCTGTATTAGATCACTCTCTGTATTAGAGCACACTCTGTATAAGAGCACACACTCTGTATAAGAGCACACTCTGTATTAGATCACACTCTGTATTAGAGCACACTCTGTATTAGAGCACACTCTGTATAAGATCACTCTCTGTATATTAGAGCACACTCTCTGTATTAGATCACACTCTGTATTAGAGCACACTCTGCATTAGATCACACTCTATGTATTAGATCACACTCTGTATTAGAGCACATTATCTGTATTAGATCACACTCTCTGTATTAGAGCACACACTCTGTATAAGAGCACACTCTCTGTATCAGATCACACTCTGTATTAGAGCACACACTCTGTATAAGAGCACACTCCTCACTCTGTATAAGAGCACACTCTCTGTATTAGATCACTCTCTGTATTAGAGCACACACTCTGTATTAGAGCACACTCTGTATAAGAGCACACACTCTGTATAAGAGCACACTCTGTATTAGATCACACTCTGTATTAGATCACTCTCTGTATTAGAGCACACACTCTGTATTAGAGCACACACTCTGTATAAGAGCACACTCTGTATTAGAGCACACACTCTGTATTAGATCACACTCCTCACTCTGTATAAGAGCACACACTCTGTATTAGATCACACTCTGTATTAGAGCACACTCTGTATAAGAGCACACTCTGTATTAGATCACACTCTGTATTAGAGTACTCTCTGTATTAGAGGACACACTCTGTATTAGATCACACGCTGTATTAGAGCACTCTCTGTATTAGAGCACACACTCTGTATAAGAGCACACTCTGTATTAGAGCACTCTCTGTATTAGAGCACACTCTGTATTAGAGCACTCTCTGTATTAGAGCACACACTCTGTATAAGAGCACACACTGTATTAGATCACACTCTGTATTAGAGCACTCTCTGTATTAGAGCACACTGTCTCTGTATTAGATCACACTCTGTATTAGAGCACACTGTCTCTGTATATTAGAGCACACTGTCTCTGTATATTAGAGCACACACTCTGTATTAGAGCACACTGTCTCTGTATAAGATCACACTCTGTATATTAGAGCACACTGTCTCTGTATTAGAACACACTGTATATTAGAACACACTCTGTATATTAGAGCACACTGTCTCTGTATTAGAGCACACTCTGTATATTAGAGCACTCTCTGTATTAGAGCACACTGTCTCTGTATTAGAGCACACTCTGTATTAGAGCATACTCTGTATATTAGAGCACACACTCTGTATTAGAGCACACTGTCTCTGTATAAGATCACACTCTGTATATTAGAGCACACTGTCTCTGTATTAGAACACACTGTATATTAGAACACACTCTGCATTAGATCACACTCTCTGTATTAGATCACACTCTGTATTAGAGCACATTATCTGTATTAGATCACACTCTCTGTATTAGAGCACACACTCTGTATAAGAGCACACTCTCTGTATTAGATCACACTCTGTATTAGAGCACACACTCTGTATTAGAGCACACACTCTGTATAAGAGCACACTCCTCACTCTGTATAAGAGCACACTCTCTGTATTAGATCACTCTCTGTATTAGAGCACACACTCTGTATTAGAGCACACTCTGTATAAGAGCACACACTCTGTATAAGAGCACACTCTGTATTAGATCACACTCTGTATTAGATCACTCTCTGTATTAGAGCACACACTCTGTATTAGAGCACACACTCTGTATAAGAGCACACTCTGTATTAGAGCACACACTCTGTATTAGATCACACTCCTCACTCTGTATAAGAGCACACACTCTGTATTAGATCACACTCTGTATTAGAGCACACTCTGTATTAGATCACACTCTGTATTAGAGTACTCTCTGTATTAGAGGACACACTCTGTATTAGATCAAACGCTGTATTAGAGCACTCTCTGTATTAGAGCACACTCTGTATTAGAGCACTCTCTGTATTAGAGCACACTCTGTATTAGAGCACTCTCTGTATTAGAGCACACACTCTGTATAAGAGCACACTCTGTATTAGATCACACTCTGTATTAGAGCACTCTCTGTATTAGAGCACACTGTCTCTGTATTAGATCACACTCTGTATTAGAGCACACTGTCTCTGTATATTAGAGCACACTGTCTCTGTATAAGATCACACTCTGTATATTAGAGCACACTGTCTCTGTATAAGATCACACTCTGTATATTAGAGCACACTGTCTCTGTATTAGAACACACTGTATATTAGAACACACTCTGTATATTAGAGCACACTCTGTATATTAGAGCACTCTCTGTATTAGAGCACACTGTCTCTGTATTAGAGCACACTCTGTATTAGAGTATACTCTGTATATTAGAGCACACACTCTGTATTAGAGCACACTGTCTCTGTATAAGATCACACTCTGTATATTAGAGCACACTGTCTCTGTATTAGAACACACTGTATATTAGAACACACTCTGTATATTAGAGCACACTCTCTGTATTAGAGCACACTGTCTCTGTATTAGAGCACACTCTCTGTATATTAGAGCACTCTCTCTGTATATTAGAGCACTCTCTCTGTATTAAAGCACACTCAGTATGTGTGTCCTTCTCCTCCTGCTCCCCAGTTGTGTCACTGTCTCCCCTGGGGACTCTGGAGTATCTGAGCCCCGTGTCACGTGTCCGCCGTTCCCACCAATCACAGCGCAGAACGCTCCCACGCTCCCTTTTCAAACCTGCAGTGAGCGGTTGGGAGCTCAGTACCCGGAGTCACGTGGTCCGGGCGGGTTAAAGGGCAGGGGGTCCTGCTCGCTCTGTTTCTGACGGGAATGGAGAGCCGCATTATTACCCCGGGGCCCTATAGGGCCACCAAACTGGTGAGTAGAGACCACGGAGGGCTTACATGGAGACAGAGCTCTGTGTGGGCAGTTTGTATCGGAGTCAGGAATCACTGGGTAACACTAAGGGGGAGGCTGGCTGAGCATTGTGGGAGAGGCTGGCTGAGCATTGTGGGAGTTGGAGTTCCAGAGGCTGCCAGTCCATGCTGGATGCCAGCCATGCTCACAGCTGGTATTTGTGGCAGTGATTGATGGCTGCAGGGTCAGCTTATCAGACAGACTTGTCTTCCTATTCATTGAGTGCAGGGGATGTGGTGGGCTATTACTGCTCCACATATAGCATAACACATGGGGCTGGCATCTTGTAATGGCTTTCTTATTGGAATCACAGAATTTTAAAATGACAACGTGAAAACTTGTCCTTACAAAACTGTTATTCCAATTTAAAAAAAAAAAAAAGCCATTCTAAGATGCTAATTTAATCTATTTAATTGTAGTTTTCCTAATTTGTGCAAATTTAGAAGGTAATTACAATATTGTAATATATATATATATATATATATATATATATATATATATACACATACTGACATGGCTGCCAGTGATCAACCATTTTGATAAATTTTTAAAGTGCTTTCCTTACTGAATTGGTGGGGGGTGGGGAGGACCCCATTAAATGTTGAACTTTCAAGATGTGCCAATCACAATTCAACACCCAAAATGACTTCCACCTGGGGACTTTGCACAATTTGCAAAGACCCCACCTGTGACATCAGCTGCTGGGAGTGGGGTGGCAGGGTGCAGGGAAAGCGGAGCTCTACATACTTGAACCTGTCCCTTGCGGACACCGCCATCTTTCCTCTAGCGGGTCTTCTTCAGCACTGGGAGCCAACATCACAGCTACTGTGTTGCATGCATGAGAGTACAACATTGAGAACTATGGAGGATCCAGACAGAGCCAATTCCCTATAGCAGTCACTGATGACAGCTTTCAGATTGACACCGTAGCTGCATCCAGTGTCTAAAAAAAAAAAAGTGAGGTGGAGGGAAAAATACATGGGTTTTTAGTTAGAAATAGGTTAAAAATGGAGGGGACCACTTAAAGTTTTGCTAACTTCAGGCTGTCGTCGAGGAGGGGCTGGTATCATGATATCAGCCTATCGAGCTTAAGACTGCCATCAGAAAATGTGGGGCTCTTTACACCACTTAAAGGACCACTATAGGCAGCCAGACCACTTCAGCTTAATGAAGTGGTCTGGGTGACTGGTCCAGCTAGGGTTAACCATTTTTTCTATAACATAGTAGTTTCAGAGAAACTGCTATGTTTATAATGGGGTTAATCCAGCCTCTAGTGGCTCTCATTGACAGCCGCTAGAGGCGCTTCTCACTGTGATATTTTCTTTTTTTTTAATTATTTTTTTCACAGTGAGAAGATGCCAGTGTCCATAGGAAAGCATTGAGAATGCTTTCCTATGGGCTGGATGAATGTGCGCGCGCGGCTCTTGCCGTACATGCACATTCAGCCGATGAAGTGGAGAGTCCCCCGCCCGGGGATGGGGGGGGGAGGGGAAGGTAAATTTAACCCCTTCCACCTCCTAGAGCCTGAAAGTGGGGGCACCCTCAGGGCACTATAGTGCCAGGAAAACAAGTTTGTTTTCCTGGCACTATAGTGGTCCTTTAAGACAGGACTTTTGCAGGCAGGTAGTGCTGTGGTATGGGATAAAGCTTGCATTTTGTAGGGAATATAATGTGTATGTGTGTGTTCAGGAGGGAATGTAAAGGATGTGTATTGGAATCTTGTATTGATGCAGTGTGTATGTGTCTTTGTGGTGTGGGATAGGGGCTGTGCTCTGTTAAAGGACCACTATAGTGCCCCCACCCTCAGGGTCCCCCTCCCGCCGGGCTCTAGTGAGGAAGGGGTTAAACTTACCTCTTTCTCCAGCGCCGGGCTGGGAGCTCTCCTCCTCGGCTGAATGCGCATGCGCGGCAAGAGCCACGCGTGCATTCAGCCAGTCTCATAGGAAAGCATTCTCAATTCTTTCCTATTGACGCTGGCATCTTCTCACTGTGAAAAATCACAGTGAGAAGCGCCTCTAGCAGCTGTCAATGAGACAGCCACTAGTGGCTGGATTAACCCTAATATAAACATAGCAGTTTCTCTGAAACTATGTTTATAGAAAAAAGGGTTAACCCTAGCTGGACCAGGCACCCAGACCACTTCATTAAGCTGAAGTGGTCTGGCTGCCTATAGTGGTCCTTTAAGAGTAAAGAGCAGTATTTTTTTACTTTTTTTTTTTTTTTTTTTACCCTGTCCATTAACGCCTTCAGGACGGCGTCAATAGTGCACGTTACGATCAAAACATAAACAAAAACTGTAATTTGCGCTTTGTCTGTTCAACAGTAATTCACCGCTGTCACATTAAGTGCACCCACACTTAATAATAATAATATTATTATTTATCATTTTGTTCAGGAGAAACAGGACTTTAATTTATTATTAGCTATTCATATGTGGAACATAATTTATTATGAATAAAAAAATTAAAGTGAGTTTTTTTAATTTGTATTTCTGTCTGACATTTTACCTGTGAATGTCATACTGTTAGGTTTTAATGCAAACAAATGCACATATTTGTAATCAGCGATGTCTCACGAGTACAACAATACCCCCATTAACAGGTTTTATGGTGTTTTGGAAAGTTACAGGGTCAAATATAGAATGTTCCATTTTCAAATTTAAATTTGCCAGATTAGATGTTACTTTTGAGACTGTGTGGTAGCCCAGGAATGAGAATTCCATTTGAAAAAGTAGACAACCCAAAGTATTGAAAGTCGGGTATGTTTAGTCTTTTTTAGTAGCCACTTAGTCACAAACACTGGCCAAAGTTAGCGTTCAGATTGTTTTTTGTTTGAAAAAAGCAAAAAACAATATTTGGCCAGTGTTTGTGACTAAGTGGCTACTAAGAAAGACTGGACATACTCCACTTGCAATATCTTGGGTTATCTAATTTTGCAGATGGTATGCCATCATGGGGGTAATTCTCATTCCTGGGCTACCATACGCTCTCAAAGGCAACATACAGTTTCAAGAAAAAGTATGTGAACCCTTTGGAATGATATGGATTTCTGCACAAATTGGTCATAAAATGTGATATGATCATCATCTAAGTCACAACAATAGACAATCACAGTCTGCTTAAACTAATAACACACAAAGAATGAAATGTTGCCATGTTTTTATTGAACACACCATGTAAAAATTCTCAGTGCAGGTGGAAAATATGTGAACCCTTGGATTTAATAACTGGTTGAACCTCCTTTGGCAGCAATAACTTCAACCAAACGTTTCCTGTAGTTGCAGATCAGACTTGCACAACGGTCAGGAGTAATTCTTGACCATTCCTCTTTACAGAACTGTTTCAGTTCAGCAATATTCTTGGGATGTCTGGTGTGAATCGCTTTCTTGAGGTCATGCCACAGCATCTCAATCGGGTTGAGGTCAGGACTCTGACTGGGCCACTTCAGAAGGCGTATTTTCTTCTGTTTAAGCCATTCTGTTGTTGATTTACTTCAGTGCTTTGGGTCATTGTCCTGTTGCAACACCCATCTTCTGTTGAGCTTCAGCTGGTAGACAGATGGCCTTAAGTTCTCCTGCAAAATGTCTTGATAAACTTCGGATTTCATTTTTCCTTTGATGATAGCAATCCGTCCAGGGCCTGACGCAGCAAAGGAGCCCCAAACCATGATGCCCCCACCACCATACTTCACAGTTGGGATGAGGTTTTGATGTTGGTGTGCTGTGCCTTTTTTTCGCCACACATGGTGTTGTGTGTTTCTTCCAAACAACTCAACTTTGGTTTCATCTGTCCACAGAATATTTTGCCAGTACTGCTGTGGAACATCCAGGTGCTCTTGTGCAAACTGTAAATGTGCAGCAATGTTTTGTTTGGACAGCAGTGGCTTCCTCTGTGGTATCCTCCCATGAAATCCATTCTTGTTTAGTGTCTTACGTATTGTAGATTTGCTAACAGGGATGTTAGCATTTGCCAGTGAATTTTGTACGTCTTTAGCTGACACTCTAGGATTCTTCTTCACCTCATTGAGCAGTCTGCGCTGTGCTGTTGCAGTCATCTTTACAGGACGGCCACTCCTAGGGAGAGTAGCAGCAGTGCTGAACTTTCTCCATTTATAGACAATTTGTCTTACAGTGGACTGATGAACAGTTGGAGATACTTTTATAACCCTTTCCAGCTTTATGCAAGTCAACAATTCTTAATCGTAGATCTTCTGAGAGCTCATTGATTTTACTCCAGTTGGCTGACATCTCACTCCAAATAAGTTCTTGGAGATGTCATTAGTCTAGGGGTTCACATACTTTTCCACCTGCACTGTGAATGTTTACATGTTGTGTTCAATAAAAACATGGCAACATTTCATTCTTTGTGTGTTATTAGTTTAAGCAGACTGTGATTGTCTATTGTTGTGACTTAGATGATGATCAGATCACATTTTATGACCAATTTGTGCAGAAATCCATATCATTCCAAAGGGTTCACATACTTTTTCTTGCAACTGTAACCAATCTGGCAAATTTCAATGTCAAAAAAATGAAATCCAAGCCTTATCTATGACTCTCTAACTTTCCAAAACACCATAAAACCTGTACATGGGGGGTACTGTTATTCTCGGGAGACTTCACTAAACACAAATATTAGTGTTTTAAAACATATTACAACAATAATATAGTCCATAAAAGTCCCATTTGTTTGTAAAAAATGCAAAAAAGTCACTTTTACTTAAAATATCATTGTTGTAATACAATTTACCAGTTTGAAACACTAATATTTGAGTTTAGCGAAGTCTGCTGAGTAAAACAGTAACCACTATGTACAGGTTTTATGGTGTCTTGGAGAGTTACAGGGTCAAATATAGTGCTTGCGAATTAAATTCTCTGCACTTTCTCCTTGTGTTGTCAGGCATGTCAATCAAATTTTAATTAATCAAATAACAGAATTATGTTAAAAGATTACTTAAATATACACGTAGAATTGTAATATGCATTTATAGGTATTTAAATTCTACGTGTATACTAATGTAATCTTTTATGTAAGAGTGTGTGTGTGTGTGTGTGTCTGTGTGTGTGTGTGTAATATATCTCGATCTCGATCTCTTCGTTAGAATGAAATTGCAAATGAATATATAACTTATATTAAATTTTCAATATTTTATTTATTATTGTGTGTATATATACCGTATAAGCCGAGTTTTTCGGCACTTTTTTTGTGCTGAAAAACCCAAACTCTGCTTATACTCGAGTCAATGTCTGTATTGTGGCAATTTACATTGCCACAATACAGACCAGGACCGCCGGGCTCATTACAAGCCCGGCGGTCCTGTTGGGGGCTGTCAGTGAGCTCTTACTTACCTTCCTGCAGCTCCTGTCAGCTCCCTCCTCCTCCGTGCAGTCTCGTGAGACTTACACTGTAAACAGAACGGAGCTGACCGAGGAGCTGCAGGAAGGTAAGTAAGAGCTCCCTGTCAGCCCCCCCACTGGACCACCAGGGATTCAGAATAATAATAATAATAATAATAATAATAATAATAATTGCATTATTTTTTTATTTAAATTTTGTTGCCTGGCCAGGGAGGGGGGACAAAAAACATTAAAAAAAAAAAAAATAATGCAAATATTAAATTAATAATAATAAAATAATATTATTTTAATATTATATTAATATTTGCATTATTATTTTTAAATGGTTTTTTGTCCCCCCTCCCTGCTTGTTGCCTGGCCAGGGAGGGGGGACAAAAAAACATTTAAAAAAAAAAAAATAATGCTTATAATATAATAATAAAATAATATTAAAATTATAATAATTTATTATTTTAATATTTTATTATTATATTATTTTAATATTTGAATTATTTATAAAAAAAAAAAAAAATTTTTTGTCCCCCCTCCCTGACCAGGCAACAAGCAGGGAGAGGGGACAATAATGCAAATATAATAATTAAATGCAGAGGAGTCGGGAGGGGAGTTTAAAAAAAAACAAAACAGGACTATGGCAGTGCCGCTTTAAGTGGAAATGCAAGTTTAATCCTATGTTTAGTTTTACCTATGCCTTCAGCATAGAGGTAAACACTACAAATGGGTACCCAAAAGCAGGTGTGGTCCTTTGTGCTGTTGTATGGTGGGCAGTGATGGGTGGCATGGCAAACTGAGCATTTTGAGGTGGGCAGATATACTCTCATCTACTACAGTGCCAACAAAAAAGTCTGCTTCAGGTAGGTATCCATCTGGCTGTAATTGTTTATGTAATGTACAGATTAAATGTTTTGTGTATGTGCAGTCTGGTTTGAAATATTATCGCCTTCATTTTCAATACCAGACTAAATTCTAACATCGTTCTCTTTCCTCTCCCCTCTTCAGTGGAATGAAGTCACAAAGTTCTTTCGGGCAGGGATGCCTTTAAAGAAACACCGGGTACACTTCAAATTGTATGCAAATTGTTTCACAGCATCAGAGGCCATCGACTGGCTCCATCATCTTTTGAAGAGCAACAGTAACTTTGGAGCAGAAGTGACCCGGCAGCAGACTATCCAACTGCTGAGGAAGTTCTTGAAGAATCATGTTATTGAAGATCTCAAGGGAAGATGGGGCTCTGAGGATCTGGATGACAATAATGCTCTTTACAGGTATTCACCACCCACCCACCCACCCCTTAATGTATCTTGTACGGCATACTGTGTGCACATATAGGTAGGTAATTAGGCATTGCATATATAACATATAAAAGTTTGTCTATTTTCCTTCTAGATTTCCTTCTACATCCCCAGTAAAAACAGTCCCGAGTCGTCATCCATTGTGGAAGAGAAGCAGTTTAGAAAATGTATTCAAAGAGAGAGATAATCTGTTCAAGCTGCCACATTTCTCAAGGAGAACTCCTAAAAAGCCAGATTTTAAGGTAATCTAAGCTCCGTCCAGCTATCTCTTCAAATATCACATACATATACTCCACAGAAACTTCTGTAGTCACAGACCCCTGGCATCCTATGACAACAAGTAATCAATCCAAGAGTTTGACACTTTCAGGGTTTTCCAGGCACTTCTGGTCCAGCCATCTCTGCTGATATACTTTGTATTCAACAACATCACTTCTTTGTTCCCCATGTCTGCCCAGCTTCTCTCCTCTAATGTAGCTAAATCAGAAGCCCAAGCAAGGGCAGAACTAACACCTGCAGTGAGATGGGCACATCTGCAGTTGTGATAAACCCGGAAAGGTGGGACCTGGGGAATCTGGTAAATGTCAAACCATTGGAAAATGGACTGCGTTTCATGGTACTTCTGACACCATAACCATTCTAGCATGCTGTTGTGATTCTTTGTTACCTTTTGATGGTGGACCAGCTCAAGGTTTAACCCCTTAAGGACCGAGGACGGTTCAGGACCGTCATCGGCATTTTCCCATTGCCGACCAATAACGTTCCTGAACCGTCCTAACAGTCCTAGTTACTTACCTGATCGCCGTCGTTCCCCCGGCGGCAATCAGCGTAGCTCCCGGTGTGGGGAGACTGCCTGCAGCCCAGACAGTCTCCCCACACTGAATTAGGACCCCTGTGGCCATGTGATCGCTTAACACAGCGATCACATGGTCACAATAGGTGTCCATGTGTCTGCCTGCTAGTGTAAAATCAAATAAAAATTAATATTTATAAAAAAATTGTGTGTGTGTGTGTGTGTATATATATATATATATATATATATATATATATATATATATATATATATATATATATATATATATATATATATATATATATATATATATATTCTGTGTCCTTATAATTAAATTACACACACACTAGTGTGTGTGTGTGTATATATATATATTATAAAATATAAATAATAAGTAATGTAATTTTTTTTTAAATAATAAAAATTGAAAAAATATCTATGAAATTTTATTCTAACTGTATTTTAAAATTATATATTTATATCAAAATACACTTAGAATGAATTTGTATATATAAATAAAAATAATACAAAATTACATAAATAATTATATAAATATACACGTAGACTTCAAATATATAAATATGCATATATATATTTAAATTCTACGTGCGTATTTATGTAATATTTCTACATAATTAAGTAATTTTATTGATTGCAATTTGAGGGACCTGTCTGCCAATCCAGGCCTAAAGTCCAGAGAATTTAATTTGCTAGCACTGTATTTTACCCTATAACGTTCTACGACACCCTAAAACCTGTAAATGGGGGGTACTGTTTTACTCAGGAGACTTCGCTGAACACAAATATTAGTGATTCAAAACAGTAAAATCACAGCAATGATATTGTCAGTGAAAGTTACTTTTTTTGCATTTTTCACACACAAACAGCACTTTTATGGACTATATTATTGTTGTGATATGTTTTCCAGTTTTTAAACACTAATATTTGTGTTCAGCGATGTCCCCCCGAGTAAAATAGTACTCCCATCTACAGGTTTTATAGTATTTTTGAAAGTTACAGGGTCAAATATATGGGTCAAATATTTTTACATTAAAAATGGCCAGGTTGGTTACGTTGCCTTTGAGAGCGTATGGTAGCCCAGGAATGAGAATTACCCCCATGATGGCATACCATTTGCAAAAGAAGACAACCCAAGGTATTGTAAATGGGGTATGTCCAGTCTTTTTTAGTAACCACTTAGTCACAAACACTGGCCAAAATTAGCGTTCAATTTAGTTTTTTTTTTTTTAGTTTTTTCACACACAAGCAAATATGAATGCTTACTTTGGCCAGTGGCTACTAAAAAAGACTGGACATACCCCATATTGAATACCCTGGGTTGTCTACTTTAAAAAAAATTTACATGTAGGGTGTTATTCAGAGATTTATGACAGATAATAGTGTTACAATGTCACTATTGATAAAATTTAAAAATGTATGTTTTGAAACTGCAATATCCTACTTGTACCTATAGCCCTATAACATGCAAAAAAAAAGCACGTAAACACTGGGTATTTTTAAACTCAGGACAAAGCTTTGAGTCTACTTAGCAGTTTTTTTTAATTCGCTTTTGTAGATGAGTAAAAGATTTTTCAAGTAAAAAAAAAAACATGTATTTTTCATATTTTTTTTTATTTTTTTTCCCAATTAAAATACAAGAGATTATATAAATAATTGTATGTAAAGAATGCCCCTTTTGTCCTGGAAAAAAAACAATATATAATTTGTATGGGAACAGTAAATGAGAGAGCGGAAAATTACAGCCAAACACCACAAAAGTGTAAAAAAAAAAAATTATAAAAAAATGCCTGGTCGCAAATGTTCAACATCGCAAAAACAGTCCAGTCCTTAAGGGGTTAAATCTGATTTTATATATTTAGTCTGGAAGGGTTTTTTTTTTTTTTTGTTTTTTTGTTTTTATGAACACAACCTGCTTGGCCCATGTGGGAGAAATCATGTTTAGTGCCTTGTGCACGGTGGTCAGTTTTTAGTGGATATTCAATGCTGATTTTCGATTTTCTAGGACGAGCAAGAAAATGACATGTGCGAGACGGAGGAGGATTTTGTAAATGACGGCCCTAAAGAGCTGAGCAAAAAGGACATAGAAGAAATCTGGGGAAACATTACTCTGATACAGTAAGTCTTAAAGATGCTTTCCCTCTGCTTAAAACAAGTGGTGTGTGCCATTTTCACTTGACAAGCTGGCATATCTGGGCAAAACAACTTTTGTAATTTATTTCTGCTTCCCCTCACGTTGTTTTTTTTTTGTTTGTGTTTTTTTAGAACAGTCACTCTGCACACAACTAATAAGGTTATTCACTGAAGTGTGGATTGTTGGGAATTCAAATTGAATTTCTAGTCTAAGGCCATAATAGTCAAACTGGAAAAATGTTCACCCAGCTGTGTTGCAATTTAATTATTTTGCCCTAAAGTTTGATGTTCACTTTCTATTCAGTATGATTACTTTTATTGAATAACCCTCTGTATTCATGTGCTCCATTGTGTTTTTTCCTTCTTTAATTTCCTGTTTTGCTTGGCAGATCACTGAAATAACTTTATTTTATTTTCTCATGCAGCAAGATAAAGCTGTGGTAGATGTAGCATATACTGGCCAGTCAGTTCCTAGATGGTGTCAAACAATGCCTGACATTTTCACCATATTTTGTTCTCCCAGCCTTCAGAAAATCTTAGCTCTGCCGTCCTTGGAAGAAGTGTTAAATCCAGCTCAAATAAACCCCAACCACATTATGTACAACATGACACACACCAGCAAACATGGCGTCGTTGTCCTTGAAGAAAAGACAGGTTTGCTGTGAATTGTTCCTTATGCAACATATTTACATAAAAATGGTTATATTTTTATTTACTTTTTTCTTTTTTTTTTTCCCCCAGATGATCTTCCTCATTGGGTGTTATCTGCTATGAAATGCCTTGCAAACTGTGAGTTGCCCCATATTGTGTCTTGTTACGGTATAGCATGACTGGACATTGATGTTGCACAGGTCACCTCTCCAGTTTATGTAATATTGGAATGCACAAGTTATCTTAATTGATATGGCCTTCTTTTATTGACTTGTGATCATCCCGACACTTCACTTCATCTGAATGTTTGTTTTATTTTGAGCTTGGGAGTTTAAAGGACCACTATAGTGCCAGGAAAACATACTCGTTTTCCTGGCACTATCGTGCCCTGAGGGTGTCACCTCCCGTCCGGCACTGGGGAGAGGAAAGGGGTTAAACTTACCTTTTTTCCGGGGCCGGGCGGGGAGCTCTCCTCCTCCTCTCCGCCTTCGATCCTCCCTTTCGACTGAATGCGCACGCGCGGCAAGAGGTGCGCATTCAGCCGGTCTCATAGGAAAGCATTTACAATGCTTTCCTATGGACGCTGGCGTCTTCTCACTGTGATTTTTACAGTAAGAAGCACGCAAACTCCTCTAGTGGCTGTCAATGAGACAGCCACTAGAGGAGTTGGAGGCTGGATTAACCCTAACAAACATAGCAGTTTCTCTGAAACTGCTATGTTTATTAAAAAAGGGTTAACCCTAGCTGGACCTGGCACCCAGACCACTTCATTAAGCTGAAGTGGTCTGGGTGCCTAGAGTGGTCCTTTTAATCTTCAACCCATTTGTTTTGATATCTTCAATTGGATAGGTGGCACTGCTTTTGTTCTCGTGTGTGGGTTTGTTTTTTTTTTGTTTTTGTGTTTGTTTTTTTTGTTTTTTTTAAATCTCTTCTGTTCCTAGTTGTTGTAAAAATGTCCATAATGTGTTGGGTCCTTGCTTTAATTGGCTTAAAGGAGGACAGTAGAGACAGTGTCCTAGCACCAGTTTTGCATATAATTGACCGTATTAAGCCTGGAACTTTGTTCTGGTCTGGCTTATGATGCCAGATGTGACGTTTCACCTCTGGCAGCTTAGGTATTTCAACGTGAATTGCAGCACATACTGATTCCACGCACCATGACTACATCAGCTCAATTTAAGTGGTCGCGGTGCTTGGAGTAAACATTTAACATTCATGCGTGAGCTACTGCACCCTCCTGCAGACCTGTGCTCTGAAATCTCATAGCAAAGACGTTGGCAGACTACAAAGACTATGTAGTGTTGGCAGACTTGTGTATGGAATTAACAATCTGCATTCTTATTTTATTTCTAAATCAATGGGGGAAGGTTGAGTGGTTTATTTGAAAGGAAACCAAGTATACAAATGCTGTGTGGATAGATGCATGTCTAGCATTAGCACTCGTGGAATGTTGTAGTCGCTAGACTGCTATAAAATGAATAAATAGAGCCTGCATTGGGCTTCACTATCTCCGTCAGATCCTGGGGGAACATCTGAAAGACGAACTTTTTAAGCGTTTACTGTGATTTTGAGATATTAAAGTCTGCCTTAAAGTAACAATTTAAACCTTTTTTTTTTTAACTTTTTGAGTGTGTATATATGTGTGTGTGTGTGTGTGTGTGTGTGTGTGTGTGTGTGTGTATATATATATATATATATATATATATACACACAATAATTCTTTTTTTTTTTTTTATAATACAGGGCCACGGAATAATGACATGAGCCAGGCAACCTATGTTGGGTTTGAACGTGACGTCTTCAGAACTGTTGCTGATTATTTCCTGGGTCTCCCCGAACCCCTCCTTACATTTGAGTATTATGAGCTTTTTGTTAATATATTGGGTACGTATATCTGTGTGGTTTTTTTTTTGTTTGGTTTTTTTCCTGCTCCATCCTTTTTGTATTAAGTTTACGTTCCCGCAGCGATATGACAGTGGTTACGTTTAACAGGTATTGTATAAGCACTGCTTGTTCACTCTGGCTGCTTATAACCCCATTGCATAGATACTAACTCTTTTTAATAAGCTGCTAACTGGTTTGCTTGTTGTTTTTTTCTTTAAGAGTTTTAATTTCTATTTCATTCCCCGATAGTTGTCTGTGGCTACATAACGGTTCCTAACAGGCTTAATGAAAAGCATACACTCCAGAAAAACATGTCTTCTCAGCAACACTCCAAAATGCTTCATTCAAACCACGCTAACTTTAAGTCCACCGAATGCCTGCTTTTAAGTTTGCTACGCAAAGTGCCCAATGAAGAAGAGGAAGAGGAAGATGATCAAAGTTTTGGAGAAATTGCCAGGGAACAAATAGGAGCACATACACGTTTGTCCAATTCCATCTGCAGAAATCAAAAGGATGGCAAGCTTGTTGGAGGCAGTTGCCAAAATCTTTCTTTCCCTCAGAATGGCATGGCTGCACCAAGCAAAATGAAAGCACGGAGCTGTTCTATGGAACCAATCCTTGATCTGGATTCCAAAATCAATGGCCAACACTCTCCTGATAGTACTGCTGTGCCCTCCAAAAAGAAATCTGAATCTATCCATTTCCTTCCATCTAATTACACCGAGCAGAGACCTTCTGACTGCAGGACTAGCTTTGATTCCCATAACCGGCTGAGATCCAGAAGGCTTTCTAGATCACACAGCATGGGTGATGATCTTGAGTCTTGTTCTAGCATAAATACACCCGTTGCTGAGATCACAGTCCGACCTGGGCAATACAGGACACAAAAGCGGTTGCCTTCTCTTACAGAAAGCGAATCTATGGATCTGGGGATAACTGTAACCAAAAGATTGTGTCAGAGCTCAATGGAACTCTCTAACAGCACTGTTCACACAAACTTTTCCCAAAACTGCCCAGGCACGCAAAGTAAGGGTAATGCTTTTCACTGCATGTCTAAGTGGGATGCTTGCAGCTTTTTAACATACTTTGCATGTGCTTTCACTTTTCGTACACTGATTTTTCAATGTTCTTATATTTAACCAGTGTGTGTGAAATTTAACTCTTTAAATTCTAGTAGAAAGTTTAAATATCTGATACTCTGTAGCATTGATGGGGGGAAAAATACACGTATTTTAGTAATCTTCACAGTTCCATCTATTCTTTTGTCCTTGAGACCTTAATGATTTTACATTTAAATATTGCTGTATTAATGCTAGTTTTCTGGACAAGCGTCTTCTAATTTTAGCAATGCTCTAAATATAAGAACATTGACCTTCCTTGGCTAAATGAGCTCCAGGCATGCCGTGAAATTTCCGCAATGCCGCAATCATTAAACGCTGTAATTGAGAGCAGCTGCATACTGATTTGTAACGTTCGATTCCGGACAACCTAAACGATGTGTTTCTGGTGTTCCTTTGAGATTTCCCACGACTTTCTACTTCATTGACGTAATATAGTTTGTCATCCTAATCATTTTAACAATCCTGGTGTTTGTCCCATCACAACGCTTTAATCACTGGAAAAGTGCTGTCTATAGAATGGAAACGGACCTGTGGTTCTGTTAAACCCTCTGGGTGCCAGCAAACAAATAGTGCAGAAAATGTATCTAGTTACCTTTTTTTTGAAGGTTAACTGGGCTTTTAAACAAAGTTATAGATGAGAAATGTACGTCTTGATTTGTCTTGACCATTTTAATTTAAACAGAAACCGAAATCTCTTAAAAGCTTAAATTAATCTCTGTAGTAGAGCATCTTGCAATATGCAGTCTTATTTTGCTGAATAAAAATGTTTTGGACATTATGCAGTATGCCAACTATAATGCCTTAAAGGACCACTAAAGGCACCCAGACCACTGCAGCTCAATAATTGTTCTGGGTGCCAGGTCCAGCTAGGTTTAACACTTTTTGCAGTAAACATAGCAGTTTCAGAGAAACCGCTATGTTTACACATGGGTTAATCCAGCCTCTAGTGGCTGTCTCATTGACAGCCGCTAGAGGCGCTTCCGCACTCCTCACTGTGGTGTGGTTTTTTTGGGGGTTGGGGGTTTTGTTTTTTTGAGAATGCTTTCCTATTAGACTGGCTGAATGCATGCGTGGCTCTTGCCGCGCATGGGCATTCAGCCGATGACGGAAGAAGAGGGAGGAGAGTGCCTGGGGAGGGGGGGGGAAGGTAAGGGATTAACCCCTTCCTCCCCCTTCAGCGCCACGGGAGTGGGACCTTGAGGGTGGGGGCACCCTCAGGGCACTATAGTGCCAGGAAAAAGAGTGTTTTCCTGGCACTATAGTGGTCCTTTAAGGAACCTTCCACACACATAAGTACTTTAGCTTGCTAAGGTGCTTTCTATGCGAAGTTTATTTTTTTTTTTAATTTTCCCCCAAAGTGCAGATTTCAATAGAAATTGGCACTTTTAATAAAGTAAACGTATTACACCATCTGGCTGTAAATCTGCTCAGTGGAGCTAAACTCAAGGTGCAAGCAGTTGCCCAGAGCTCCTGCCTTGTAATTGGGATTGGGCAGCCACAAAGTTGGGCGGGATTGAAAGGGAAGGATTGGCAAAGACTGCAGACGAGATCTGTGCCTTTTGAAAGATAATTTTAGGTATTACCCCAAAGAGAAAAATACACAATTAAAGGACCACTATAGTGCCAGGAAAACAAACTATGCTATGTTTACAGCTGCAGGGTTAACACTAGCTGGACCTGGCACCCAGACCACTTCATTGAGCTGAAGTAGTCTGGGTGCCTATAGTGGTCCTTTAAATGTGTGCATGTTTTCATTGGGGTGTATCTACTAAACAGTGATTTTTTATTTATATAGAATTATATTTTTATTTGGTCAGTGGAGTGTTACTCTAACATTTTTAAACACCTTCAGATTTGGATTTCATTGATTCCATTGAGAAAGCTGCCATTTGGAACTCAGACACAGTAATATGTCTGATCCCTGGGATAGGCAGCCAATGATAACTGACCATTTCATTCTTGGAGCATTATGAGAACTATGCAGTAGCTGGCTATGGCATATGATTGGCTTTCTTTAAAATTAATGAACCGTACAAGACCATTGTTTTTGTTCAGCAAACCGGCACTGGTTGTATCTTTCTGGGTGCTCTTAACAGGTTTGTTTTTTGTTAATCTCTGTTGTAATTGTGCTCCTTGTTGGGCTTGTGGTGTGTGTTTTTTTTTTTCCTGTCTCAACACTTGCTTTTCACACATCTCAGATACGTTTTAACCTTTTTGAACCCATTATTTAGGATTGCTGCAGCCTCATTTAGAGAGGGTTGCAATCGAGGCCCTCCAGCTCTGTTGTTTGCTTCTTCCACCTGCAAACCGAAGAAAACTTCAGCTACTTATGCGAATGATTTCACGTATGAGTCAGAACGTGGACATGCCACGGCTTCATGATGCCATGGGAACCAGATCCCTTGTAAGTAAAAAGCCGCAACATTGCATTCTGGGAGTATGGTGTTAATGGAGAAAAGGCCCATTTGCAATTTTAAAGTAATCCAGAAATTATAACCATGAATCCTTTTAATAGATCATAAATGCACGCTTTCTGGACACTGTTTCAGTAACAAACATAGCTTTGTTTTATCCCATATACTGTTGTATTCAAAGTGTATGAAGCTCTTATAATAGATATTTGACATTTCAATTCATTCATGAAAGAACTTTTTTTTTTTTTTATTCTGCCCGTGTTTTATATCCTTGCTAGAAGTCTCATATTCTGTTGTATGCAGAGTATGTATATTGCATAAATATAAATTATTGTTTTGGGCTTGTTTCCCACTCTTTTCTACTGTCAAAATAAAATCCCATAACTCCGTAAATGAGTCCTAAAAATAGGTGAAGCATAGAGAGATTAGAGGTTGTTAGTCTGCTCAGCCACTAAATTCTCCTGTTCTTCTATCACCAGTTTATTCTAGACTGTCTACAAAACTTTTGATTATCTTCTTGGCCATGTGTGACCTTGTGGGTTTTTGTGTTTGTTTTTTTTCCCCTTCAGATGATCCAAACTTTCTCCCGCTGTGTGTTGTGCTGTGCTGAGGAGGTGGATCTGGATGAATTACTTGCTACGAGATTGGTTTCTTTCCTTCTGGATCATCACCAAGATGTCCTTCAAGTTCCATGTTACCTACAGACTGCTGTTCTCGATCACATGCAGTATCTACGCCAGGCACATGTATGCTAAGTCTTTGATTCTGGGCTCTGTAGGCCTTGAACTCTAACTATATTACTACTCAGTAAAAAACAAATGCAAGTCCACATTTTATTTATATTTTTTAGTTATTGGTCATTCACTGGCCTTTATTTTGCAGGTGAAGGTTGCAGATGGCGTACCTGCCTACTATTTTTGTAAGCAGATCAGTAAACAAGAATTTGAGGCTCAGAGACTTACCACGTCACAAGCTGCCATTGAAGAACTTCTAGAGAACATTATTAAGGACCGAAATCTGTCTGTTAAAGACAAAAAGAAAAAGCTCAGACAGGTTGGGAACCTTATTTTTAGTTCTTACTATTTTGTGTGTGTGTGTATGTAACTTGTCTCTTGACTGACTGGTGTAATGTGCATTTCCAAGTTCAATGTGTGTGTGTGTATATATATATATATATATATATATATATATAACATACATACAGGGTTTCCTTGCACTCACGCTTGTAAATAGTTGTAAGCCGGGTGCTTGTAATCCAGGGAAAAATTGCATATGGTGAAATAGTGATCAGCACTCTCGGTCTTTTGTTGAGTTTAAAACTTACAGTTTATTGAAATTCCATTTAAAAGATCAACGTTTCAGTTCCTATCTGGAACTTTCATCAGGATCAAACATATAAAACAATGCAAAACATTACATTTATATACCTCAAGTATTAGTGAAATTAAATCAATAATGACTTACCCCTGTGCTCAGAGTGATGGGTGTGTTCCCCTGGCGTCCACCATACCCCCGTGCGCATGCGCGGACGTGGCCCCGCCCCTACGTGTGCGTGATGACGTCACGCGTTGCCGCGGCAACGCTAGAGTCACATGGGAAGAAACAGGAAGTGACTGATAGTGAATAGCATGTATCTCCGGTTGCTATGGCAACCCGGCATTGTAACTACAAAGTTATACATTCAATTAGTATTCACAAGTGCTAGTCCAATCTTCCTGGTACTAGAAAATAATGAAAAATGAAAATGAAAGGTTTATGAAAATACACAGTGATACTAATGTGTATAAAAAGTGTAAAAAAAGTTATATATATTCATAACTATAGATATTGGTTAAAACCCTAATTCTGGCAAGTAAATACTAGCCTTAAAGTGCCAATATGTGATAAAGTACTGAGGACCAGTACAATTATACTGGAAATAAAGTGCATATGAAAAAGTGCTAAAGTGATAATAAAGTGCTAACAGTGATGTGCTATTACTTATAATAAGAAAGTGCTATCCAGTGCAACTATAATAAATGGCAATTCTATATCAATAGATAGTTCTTTGGTATAAAAATATATCAAAGTATTAAGGGCTTAGAGGTATTGATTTACACATAAAAAACATCTTAAAAAGTATCATAATTATCATAAAAACAAAATTCCTATTGCTTTTGGGGTCATAACTAAAGAAATGAATGATAAGAAAGCATCTCATTGAGCACCTCTAGGTGCAATCGTGTTCAATTGGAAAATCCATTCTGTCTCGCTATTAAGGAGCATTTTGCCGCGGTCCCCTCCTCGCCTGGGTATTGGGATATGATCTATTGCGATAAACTTCAAAGAGGAAAGTGGATGTTTCATTTCAAGAAAATGTTGTGCCACAGGTTGTTCTGAATGTCCATCCCTGAAAGCCACCCGTATTGCTGATCTGTGTCCCCGTATTCTTTCACATAGTGGGGTTTCAGTTTTGCCAATGTAGGCTAACCCGCATGGACACATTAACTTATAAATCACAAAAGGTGTTTTACATGTAATTGTGTGTTTTATCTTAAACACCTTATTCTTATGTGGATGTTGAAAGGATTTAGCCGGGGTCATGTGGCTACACGTGACGCATCGGACACTGCCTCGGTATTGAATATCAGTTCCCTGATTATAACTGTTGATAGGATCTGTATGTACCAACATATCTTTTAGTGTTTTGTTTCTCTTGAAACTGATCAATGGATGTTCTTTAAAAACTTTAGGCAAAGTGTCGTCCGTTGCTAGCATCTTCCAATTTTGTTTGATAATTTTGACTATTTTGGGTGAAGCGTCATTGTACGCCATTGGAAATACCAAAGACGGTGGTTTTTTAGTACGTATGGCGGTATTGGCCATTTGCGCATCTTGTTGTGCTTTTAACAGTTCCTGTCTATAATAACCTCTTTCAAGGAATTTTTGATTCATCTCTTCCAACTGTTGTTGCATCTTGAGTTGATCTGAATTATTACGTATAACTCTTAAGAATTGTGCCTTAGGAAGCGATTTTTTTCAACATTTTTGGATGTGCACTTTTATTGTGCAACAATGTGTTCCGATCGGTATCTTTTCTATATAGACAGTAAGATACTCCATGTTCTTTAACAGATATCTCTAAATCCAGAAATTGAATCATATTTGTACTAATATTGGACGTAAACCTGACTGGAGTATTAAGTTCATTCAAATAGTGAACCATTTGCTGAGCTTCCAATTCAGTGCCCTTCCAAAGGATCAACAAATCGTCAATGTAACGAAAATACGCAGTGATCAGATGATTAAATTTGGAAAAGATGTGTTCTTTCTCATAAATATGCATATAGGAATTGGCATACATTGGGGCCATCGCTGCCCCCATAGAGGTGCCCGCTACTTGTAGGAACCAGTCATCTTCAAATCTGAAATAATTTTGTTGGAGAGTTAAGGACAATAATTCAAAGACAAATTCGATTGGAGGTCCCACATATGAAGTAGCCATGCTTAAAATTTGTCTCATGGCTTCTATCCCCTCCTGGTGTGGAATAATTGTATATAGATTACTCACGTCCATGGTGATTAGAATAATGGGTTCCTCGCCAAAGTCTAATGTATCCAATTTCCTTATCAAGGTCGGTGTATCCTTGATACAATTCTGTATCTCTGCAATGGGTGCTTGGAATAGAGAATCCAGCCATTTCGCAATCGGTTCTAAGATCCCTCCTATTGCTGATACTATCGGTCTCCCTGGAGGCTTAATGGGATTCTTGTGTATCTTTGGTATAGTGTAAAGAATTGGAGTCTTTGGATTCTTTTTCAATAGGTAGTTATAGAGTTGAAGATCTATGTGTCCTGCTTCCAGTCCCAAAAACAGAGTATTCTCTATAGTTGTTGCTATTTTCTTAGTCGGATCACCTTGTAAATGTAAGTATACTGTAGCATCTTGTATTGCCGTCTGATTTCCCCAGCATAATCCTTGTAATCCATGATTACAATGCCTCCCCCTTTATCAGCAGATCTAATGGCAATCGTGGGGTCCTCTGACAAGTTTTTGATGATTTTCATCTGTGAAATAGAAACATTTCTCCTGAGTACTTTGTGATTGCGTATATTTATTATTATATTTTAGAATATTGATGCAATGTAATATTGTTTGGAATTATTATTGAAACGCAAGAATAAACGGGGATCCGGTTATTTTTAGTTTTCGATTAAAACTTTAGGTCCTGGTATATTAATGGTCATTGAGAACTGTGTAAATGCAAACTGGGATAAGTAGATGTAAAGTTAAGGGTTGGTGTTTTATTGAGGTGTGTGTGTGTGTGTGTGTGTGTATAAATAAAAAATAAAAAAAATTTTGTTGTGCTAATTCAATGTATATTGGTTAGCATGTGTTGAAGTCACTGTACCAGTTCATGTGGAAAAAAATGTATGAGTGGTTTTACGTTTTGGTGTTTCCAGTTATGAGAATACGGGAATAATTTTTATTTTTTTAAATTATTGTAAAATGTTGTACTGTTTCAGTTCCAGAAAGAATATCCTGAGATCTATCACAGCCGTTTCCCAACCACAGAAAGTGAAGCTAAACTCTTTGAACACAAACCTACAATCAAGCAACCAATGTTGGTTTTGAAGAAACCAAAGTTCCGTAGCATAAGATACTGACCTGAGCACTCACCAGAACACCACAGTTGTTTTGACTTTGCTTGATGGCAAATATTTTTACAATTCAGACCTTAAGGAATATTACAAGCCATATGAGGAATAGAACATTTCCACCCTAGAAATACCTTCTTATTTTTGACAAATGAAGTTTGTGTTTTTGGAATTATTTCCTTGTTTTTACATTTAAGGAAATTGCATTTTCCTAAAAATGAGGATGCGAATAGCAAGATGTTAACAAGATGCCTTGGAGCAGGAGTACCAGACTGTCTCTCTGAAACCTGTGCCCTTCATATGTGTTTATTGTGGATTAGTTCCCCCCCTTCCCCTAAACAAGTTACCTTCTGACTTGGTTTGATTTTATTTATTTTTGTATAGTGTGCCCTTTTCACTCAAATGGGGAAAGTACGGATCTACCTCGCTGATAATGGAGGTTTTTGAAGGGTGTTTTTACAGCACCTAAAAAATAAATCATGTGATTATGAGCTCCTGTTCATCTCTAACCTCATCTCCTTTTTATTTTTATATAAAATTAAAAATATATAGTAATCTTCCCCACCCCTAAATACTTTGCTAAGAAAACTGGATCAGGGTGCTTTATTTTAAAATAATACTCCAGCAACCAACTTAAAGGACCACTATAGTGTCCTGAGGGTGCCCCCACGCTCATGGCCCCCCTCCCACCGGGCTGAAGTTGCAGGAACGGGTTAAACACTTGCCTTTCTACAGCACCGGGCTCTCTCGGCACTGAGGACTCTCCTCCTCCTTTGGACGTCATTGGCTGAATGCGCGTCTCTTGCCGCGCATTCAGTCAGTCCATAGGAAAGCATTCTCAATGCTTTCCTATGGACGCTGGCGTCTTGTCACTGTGAAAATCACAGTGAGAAGCGCCTCTAGCGGCTGTCAATGAGACAGCCACTAGAGGCTGGATTAACCCATATGTAAACATAGCAGTTTATCTGAAACTGCTATGTTTACAGCAGGCAGGGTTAATCCTAGAGGGACCTGGCACTCAGACCACTTCATTGAGCTGAAGTGGTCTCGGAGCCTATAGTGGTCCTTTAAACATCCCACCACACTCACATAGACCTTTTTAATGCCAGGACATCTGACAGCTACTCAATGGATGGTAACTGATGCTTGATCTCTACAAACCATTGTTACACCAATATATAATTGCTAAATGAGGCATTTAAAAAAAATTACCAAAGAGATGAAGTAATATGTGGTAAAACAAAACTGAGCGAAAGCTCTTCTTCAAATTTAAACATCATGACTATAGCGTCCTACCACCAGCCCTGCCAATTTGCACACTTTAGAAATCACCATGGTGCCTAAAACTAACATGTTTGCATTTTTTGTAGTTTCGCTAGTTTAAAAAAAAAAAAACTGAAAAAACTTGACTATTGTAAAGTTTCTGCATGCGCCTCCAATCATTTGCTAAATTTTGCACTCCATTGTAAATATTGTTGCTATTTATGTTTGTTTTCACTTTAAATGTATCTTATATTTTTTTTTTTTTGTATGTTTTGTTTTTCTCCAGTAAGTGCTTTACAGCTGCATTAATTAAATTTATTTTTATATAAATCTTTTTGTACCTAATTCTATTGAAGTTGTAAAGTCACCAAGCTTTAACTTTGTTGAAATTAAAGACCTTTTTTTTCCCTTTATTATTTGAATGGAGTATTTCTTAGAAAATGTATCCATACTTCCCATTATTTAAATTTTTCCAGCAACAAGCCATGGAAGAACCTTCCCACAGCTCATTGGGCAGAAACATCCCTAAAAGTCCACTGCATGTGAATTTATTTTTAGGTGACCAAGTGTCTGATTTGGTGAAATACTAGCTGCAGGTGGGCCCTGAAGAAGGCAGAGCTTTTGTAGCGTGGTCATGCATACCATTGGGGACCAGGAGCTGAAAAGTTCTGTAGTCCTTGATAATGGCTGAGACTATTCATTTAACTATAGTCATTGATGATGTTGCATATCCTCTTTTGGACTCAAAAGGCAGAACAAACAGTCTAGAACATTTCCTAAAACGTTCAGTTCTTCGGAGATGGATACCTAGACAAAATCCAATGTTTCCAATTTTATTCTGGAAAAGAGCTGGAAAAATATTGGTAGAACCTGGTTAAGAAATATTGACACCCCATTTAACCTAAATTCTGGCACTGTGCATATCCCAGCCCTGTCCTGATGGCAAATAGTGTAAGGATAGAGCCCTTAACTTTGAAATCTTGCATTCAGGTCCTGGGTGAAAATTAAGGGCAACCCCCCCTGCCTTCCCCGATTTTTAAATTTTTATTTCAGTTTTTGGTGGGCAGCTTGTGTTAAATGACCCTCTGAGTGCTTTATGGGTAAGGAGTATCCCATTTTACTGGCACTTTTATAAAAGTTTTTTGTGTTTTTTTTTTTTTATTTATTTTATTATTATTTTTTTTTTATTTTTTTTTAACGAAATGGGCACTTTTCTAAATAAATGAAATGCTGCTCCAGGTATTATTTAAATAGCAGAGTAGTTCCTCTTCAACTAGAGCACGACTGCCGATTCCTCAACAAAAGTTCATAGTACCTCAGCTGTCCCGGCTCATTCGTTCTCCTAGCATTCCTTTTTATTTATTTATTTTTGTGCGTGTGGAGTGTTCCTTTTAAGGCTATTTTACACACTAGACATTAAGTCCAGCCCTTAGTTAAAGGGATACTAGAAGTGCCAGAAGTACAAAGCTGTATTTCTGGCACTGTAGCTCCCTCTGCCTCATCTCCACCGAGGTAAATAAAGAGTTTGAAAATCCTTTACCTGATCCCAGCGCCGATGTCCCTCTGCGCTGGAGCCTGGCTTCCCTTGCTCCTCTGTCCCACAATGAGTGGGCACTAATGCTCATGTTCTGCAAATGCTGCATGCATTAGACCTCCCCAAAATAAATTCATTAAATCAATGCTTTAAACCAAAGGTGCATTTGGATCCAGGAAGCTCCTCCAGTGGCTGTCTGGTAGACTGCTACTGGAGACAAACAGTGCTGCAATATAAACATTGCAGTTTCTCTGGAACTGCAGTGTCTAGCATTGCAGCACTGAGTGCAAAAGGGACACACTGACCACTTCAATGAGCCGAATTGCTCTGGGAGCCTATAGAACTTCATGAGTTAACAGTGTGCCCTCTTGGTCACTTTATGGATAATATGTATACTTCTAAATATTTAAGACTGAGTGTTCCTTTTAAGTAATCTGCTGCAATTTCTATACTGGACAGTTTTCTCTTCTAGGCTGCCATGCTGTGAAAAGCCATTCTAATTTTGACTAAATTGTAGGAAATATTTGCTTTAATCAACACTAGCAGAGGATGCACTAGAGTTTGTTAGAGGCAATATTAGTGAAAAGTGGAACAATCCGCTTATTATTGGTCTCCATGGTGCTCATTGAACTTTTATTTTTATTTTTTTTTCTCTGCAGTAGCTCTATCCTATATTATGTCTGTGAGATATCCCTACCCTCCCCCTTGACTGCAAGCAGTCTCCTAAAACCCCCAACAGATTAAAAGTCATAAAAATGTTTATCTCCTGTTAGAATCATGAGAGATCTTAGCACAAGCAAATTGAAAAGAAAATAACATTTACATTTTACAGCCTGTTTGCAAAATGTAATTCTCAGCAAGTTATAACATTCTAAAAGTTAAATAGGAAATTAAAATATTTTATGGCACTGCCCTTTAAAAATAAATAGTTCCTGGAAATTGCAGTCATTTGTGTGTTGTTTTTTTGTCAATGTTTTTATTTGAGGAAGTAAAAGATATTTGTATACATTGAGATACATCTGTAGGCATTGATAAAACAGTACATAGGAAGTCTCGCAGACATTAGTTAATTTGTGGGCTCATAACACACCCACAGAGCTAGGTTTCCCCTGTGTGTTAACTGTAATTCTCCTGTCCCTGGTATTCTACTTGTGGTGTTGAGAGAAGCATATACGTGTATGTGTGGTTCAGTGGTGTATTTTGGATTTGTGCTGCCCTAGGCACGACTAAATTTGGGCACCCCCAAAATCTACATTTACCCCCCCCATTTGTGTCAAGGACATTTTTTTGACTGACAGACACATGCAATCATTGATTCATGCACTGATATACACTCACTGACAGTCATTTGCACACACTGTTTAACCAACACACACTTTCACTGACTGACACACCCACTCACTGACAGGCACACACTCTCAGATACACATAAAATGACATACACACTCACAGACAGACACACACTGACAGCTTCACTCACTCACTCAGTATGGTGGACAGCCCCAGAACACTAAGCAAACAAGGCATTTTTTGGCGCCCCCCCCTGAAAGTGCCGCCCTAGGCAAATGCCTTGTGGTAAATACATCCCTGGTGTGGTTATTGAGGATTTGCCCATTTGACACCATCTTGTTAGTGGTTGTCTGATATAGCCTTCGGGGCCTTGCTAAACTGGGATAGCGTAGAGTTTTCCTAATTGAAGAGGGAGGGTTGGGGCTAGGATGTGAAGAGACTGGATCAATAAACATTGCTACTTGTTAGGCTCATTTTCCATTGCGCTAATGTAGTAGATTATTTGGCTACTCAGAGCTAATGTTAGGGGGAGCAGGTAGCTTTGCGTTTTGTGTGTTTCTGGTGTAGTCTAGTCATGAATGTTGTAAAGGTGTCATTGGTGTGCTGTTTCTAGATTATGTATAATCTAGAATGTTTTGTTGAAGGGTATCTATGTGGAGATGAGAGAGGGGTGGGGACTTGAGGTACCCGTTTTAAGGCCTTTCTAAGTGAGATGTTGTTCGGGGTCATCTCCTTCCAGGCATGTCTCTTGTGGTTTCGCTTTGTAGGTTTTCTCCTCCTCTCTCTATCCCTGTGTCTTGTCTCACCCTCGCTTTGGGGTCTTCTACAAGGGGGGGGGGATGCCTGCTGGGAAGTGGGCTTGTGACACAACGAGGCAGTAAGCATAAGAAAATCATTGTACAGGTTCAAGAGTGAGTTAGGA